ATATAAAGGAAACAGGCTTAACAATGTCCAAAGTCAAAAATCTCATGTGGCTTATTTATTTATTAACTCGGCCAAACTCAACTTTATTGTTACAGCACCTTTTTAACACAAGTGAAACACAAAATGCTTTAATGGTGCAGAGGAAAAGACTTGAAATGAAAATAGCAACAAATTACTCAAGTAATACAACTTCCAGAGGAATATTGGGCTTTTATTTTGAAATAAATACAKACATTTCCTGTCCCTGACGTAAACTCTCCGTCCACCTTGACGCAGTCGGGTTTTAAAAGGACTTTGCCATCTCTGTTGCTCTGCGCATGTTCCCAAAATTCAGGRGAAGAGGGGCTCTCCCTGCTCTCGGAAATACCTGATGCCAAAGAATGTCTTGAAACGGGAAGCTAAAAATATTATGCAATAAAATGTTATCTGTCTTCTTTACAGATATATTACCATTGATGCTTTTCTTCTGTATTGAATTGTCCTCGAGTTTTTTTCAAACAATAATCATTTGTGTGCAGGAGGCAAAGCAGCTGCAAGAGTCACATGTTAAAGAATGTTGGTATAATATAAAAATAATAATTTATTTGAAATAAAATTCCTAAAGTTGTTTGTGTGTGTGTTGGGGGGGGGGGGGACTGCAGTGGTTAAAAAAAACAATAACTGCACGAATAAAATCTGCTTCTCTGAACGGCTCCGGCTTTATGATTCTTSTCTTGCATTTAAGCTTTGAATATTTGCAAATGTTGTTCATGAAGTGATTTTATCTATAGAGATCAAATGACAGTAACAATGCACCTGAACAATACCTCCATCTGGTATGTTCATGAAGCAAAGCAGGACAAATTACAGCCAAAGAGGTTATAAATGTGTTTTATACACATGATGTGCTGCTTTTATGTTGTTGCTGCTTAGGTTCAAATAAAACTCAACAGCATATAGACACTGCTGTTTAAAGTGACATTAAATATTAAAACATGAAATCAGAAAAAAATAATGATTGAAACAGTTACTTCATATGAGCTACCAAAGTTATTTGTAATAATGTGGAATGGCACAGGGAAAAAGTATTGAACACACTTACTGAAATTTATCTAATACTTTGCACAAAAGCCTTTGATGTCAATGACAGCTTCAAGACGCCTCCTGTATGGAGAAACTAGTGGCATGCATTGCTCAGGTGTGATTTTGGCCCATTCTTCCACAAACAGTCTTCAAATCTTGAAGGTTTCGTGGACCTCTTCTATGAACTCTGATCTTTAGTTCTTTCCATAGATTTTCTGTTGGATTCAGGTCAGGTGATTGGCTGGGCCATTCCAGCAGCTTTACTTTCTTTCTCTGAAACCAACTGAGAGTTTCCTTGGCTTTGTGTTTGGGCTCATTGTCTTGCTGAAATGTCCAGCCACGTTTCATCTTCATCATCCTGGTAGATGGAAGCAGATTTTTATCAAGAATRTCTCTGTACATTTTTCCATTCATCCTTCCTTCAATTATTTGAAGTTTGCCAGTACCATATGCTGAAAAACAGCCCCACACCATGATGTTCCCACCTCCAAACTTCACTGTTGGTATGGTGTTTTTGGGCTGATGTGCAGTGCCATTTGACCTCCAAACATGATGTGTATTCTGGCATCCAAACAGTTCAATGTTGGTCTCATCTGACCAGACTATATTCTCCCAGTATTACACAGGCTTGTTTAAATGTTGTGCAGCAAACTTTAAAGGAGCTTCAACATGCTGTTTCTTCAGCAGTGGAGTCTTGCGTGGTGAGCGTGCATACAGGCCATGGTGGTTCAGTGCATTACTTATTGTTTTCTTTGAAACAAACGTACCTGCTAATTCCAGGTCTTTCTGAAGCTCTCCACAAGTGGTCCTTGGCTCTTGGACAACTCTTCTGATAATTCTTTTCACTCCTCTGTCAGAAATCTTGTGAGGAGCACCTGGTCGTGGTCGGTTTATGGTGAAATAATGTTCTTTCCACTTCTGAATTATGGCCCCAACAGTGCTCACTGGAACCTTCAGAAGTTTAGACATTCTTCTGTAACCGATGCCATCATTATGCTTTGCAACAATAAGGTTGTGAAGGYCKTGAGAGAGCTCTTTACTTTTACCCATCATCAGATGGTTCTTGTGTGATACCTGGCCATCATTTGGGACTGAACCAGCTGATATGAACTTGCACTGACAAGGGGCAGGCTTGCTTTCTAATTACTGAGAGAGTTCAGCTGGTGTCTTGGCTTTCCATGCCTTTTTACACCTCCCTTTCTTCATGTGTTCAATACTTTTTCCCTGTGCCATTCCACATTATTACAAATAACTTCATTTCTGGACATTTATGGTTTGATTTCTTTGTATGTATGGATCACTTGGGTTGTTACCGACATCTGGTGAACATTTCATGTCATTAGCACCTCTRGTAATATATTTACTGAGAAAAATGTTGACGTGTTCAATACTTATTTCACCCGCTGTATATTAGAGGTGCAACGATACAAGAAATTCACGGTTCGGTTCAGTTCGATACCTTAGTCTCAAGGTTCGATATTTTTTCGATACAAAAAAGAGAAATTTCCATGCCCCTTTTAACTTGTAATTTATTTATATTAATTAAGAACATTTGTTTAACCTCAGAAGTACAGTTTTTTTTTAAATAAATGTTGCTGAAACAGCAAGTTTCTCAGTGGATCTGCACTCAAAAATACAGCCTAGGTGGAGTAGTCGAACACAGATCCACTGATCCTTTAACACAGAGCATCTTCAGAAGACAAGTTGATAAAGTAAATTTTTAAAATCTGTATTGTTCGCTACGGTTTGATATGGTTCGGTACGGTTCAACAAGGGTACATGTATTGTTGCACCCCTTTGTTCTCCATGCATTTTTTAAAATAAAAACTAAATTAACAATCCAAAAGTTTTTGAGGACCCCCAAGAGACAGCTTGCGGACCCCTGGGGGTCCTGGGACCCCAGTTTGAGAACATCTGCTCTAATATATTTTCTCCTGTGTGCATTTCTTCACATGAGGAACTGTACAATTATGTTCAAATGATGTTATTATCTGGCGCAAACATCTCATTTTAGATCTTCTCCCAGGTTAATCCAATCCTCAGGTGAAGGCGCGTGCAGGGAGTCTACCAGCGGCTCACAGCAGCTGCTGCTCCTCGCGGCAGTCCGGGTGAACCCGTGTCCATGGAGACCAATTCTCCACTTCCAAACAAAAAGTGTGAGTGCGACAGCTTTCCTCTGGTCCTCCGCGATGAATTCAAAGTAAGTCCAACGTTTTTAAACCAAACTATGAACTTTTACTGGCGTGTTTTCATATGTCCTAGCAGTTTTATTGATGCATTTTTTTTATAAACTAATCAAATAGTTCTGTAGGTTAGCAGGAAGTTTAGCCAAAAGCTACAGATGCTAACGCAATGCTAACTCATTTGATTCTGTATTTACTAGAAACTCTTTAGCTTTCACGCTTGATCTTCAACCAGGAAAATCTGGTAAGCAACTATTTAAATCACCTTACTCGTTGTATAACTTCATGCTTCATTACTTTACGTGCATTTTCTTTCTTCTTTTTTGTGTGTTCATTTGCATGTTTTTAAACCCTGCATGTGAAAGCAGAGCCCCAGACACCAGATGGACATATCTCTCAGATCCCAGGACTGTCTCCATCTGTCATCAGTCATCCTGAGGAGAAGGCCCGGGGAAAAAGGGTCACCGTCCAGGAGAGTGATTCTGACTATGTGAAGCTTGCAAAACAAGGCGGACATAAAGGTATCTTGTTGGATTACAGTGTGGKTAAACTGCCTGCTATACCATCATCACCAACCCCTGCTCTTCTCATCACTGTCAATAGGGCTTTTGTGGCATGAAGAAACGTCTCATCCAAACTCATCCAAACCTCCAAACATGTCATCAGGCAACACCGTCCAGCCAAGGTGTTTTATTAAGTGATCATGTGGTTGCCTCTACATGCAAAAGTCCTTTATTTAACTTGGCATCATTTGTTGGAAACATTGTGCTGTTTATTGTTCCTATCTGACCAATACGCAGCAAGGAGGAGAAAAACCTTGGAGCCTTTCAGCCACTAGAGACCCCCTTTTGGACTGACAGTATGATGTCTTGGGAGAGAGGTGATGGCAGCCGCGATGGGAAAGAGAAGGTAAACAGAAAAATGCACAGGGTTTTTAGAAGACTTTGCTCCTTGTTTTCATTTGTTTTGTTTTAAGACTAAGATAGTCGATGCAATGTTGCATTACAGCAGGTAAAATAAGTATTGAACACGTCACCATTTTTCTCAGTAAATATATTACTAGAGGTGCTAATGACATGAAATTTTCACCAGATGTTGGTTACAACCAAGTGATCCATACATACAAAGAAATCAAACCATAAATGTCCAGAAATGAAGTTATTTGTAATAATGTGGAATGGCGCAGGGAAAAAG